ACCGAGAAAGAGAGATACCAGATTTCAGAGCAGCGCAAGGTGGATCAGAAAGCGGTGGACTCACAGATTTTGGCAAAAATCAAAGGTGTTCCTCAGCTCCGGGGCTACCTGCAATCCATTTTTGCTCTGACAAATGGAATTTATCCTCATAAATTAGTGTTCTAAATTTCTTACTAAGAACCTAATTAAATACCTGATACATTTTTAAAAAAATAAAATAAAATAAAATAAAACTGAAAAATAAATTTTAGGAACAAACAGAGGTTGAGTAAAATATTTTATTGGGAAAGAAAGCTTCTGTTTCAGAGAGGACAGAATAGGGACCAGAGTGGGTTGCCCAGGAAGCTGTCTCTTTCAGTTTATTTTTATAGAGCAAAACCATGTGGGGTTAAGGTAGAAAAAAAGGGGTCTCGCTTAGGTGGATGTGGGGTAGGACAAAACTATGGTCAACCAATGGGATTACAAACACCATTGCTCAGGTTAAGTTGATTACGCCCAGGGCTAAATGGGGAAGTGAGTCACAGAGTAAACAGACATAAATATGGGACAGTGTCTCTTTTTGTTGGGGGCTGGGCTGGTGACTCACTTGGATCTTTTTAGGTAATCGATACCTATTTAGAATATCAATTCCAGGTGCTACTCTTTTAACATTTGTTTGGCCTTTAGGTCTTTTAGGTCTGGCTCACAGCAGGAGCATCCGTCCCTCCCACAGTTGCAAGATAACTTGTCTTTTGTGCTGTCTCCTTCAAGGGCCTTGCTCTGTCTGACTGCCTATTAATATTTCTATCTAATTTGGCTACCTATAACACCAGTTACAGCCTTTTCCTACTGGAATTTAATTGATAAAATCTTATCCCAGAGACACTGTGACCCGGTTGTTGCTAATGTAATAAGAAAGGGCAAAAATATACTACAGGGACAAAAAGGTAAAACTCATCTTAAAGGACAAAGAACCCCCTAAGGGTGTGTGCCCTCCTGTAAGGGAACAAAATCTTAAAATCAAAACCAGAAAGCCAGATTTATGTTGAGAATAAAGAGCAAGGAGCCCAGCAGGAGGATTTAAAATGTTGTGAGCTTGGCCAGAAAAAAGGTGCCAAAAAAACTGTAGACTGCAAAGATAGAGCTGAGAGGATCTTCATTGCGGGGAAGGAACCTGAGAATGAAAGGGATGGCCTGAGGGCATCACAGGAGGAGGCAGGTCTCCACCCTTTACAGCCTCAAAACTGTAAAGATCAGGGACTTTGCCTTGAGGGGAAAGCCACAAGGCACCCTGTTCCAGAATGACAGCGGCAGTTGCCCAATATGGAGCCACAGCTCCATACACCACAGCCATTTTAGAAACTGTGGCTGACAATTAGCTTACTCCTGAGGACTGGCAGGCATTAGCCAGAGCCATCCTCTCTGGGGGGGATTATCTCCTATGGGAGTCTTCCTGCATGCAGGGAGGCATCCACAATGATAGCTTCACTGTTGATGTTGGATTTGTTACCTTCACCAGCTGCAATCAAATATTTAACTACAATAGCCCTATTTGCCCAAAAAAAGGACATGTGTTTGTATGTGGGGGAAATTTAGCCTTCACATATTTACCTACCAACTGGACAGGACTGTGTGTCATGGCAAACGTACTGCCTGATATAGATGTCATCTCTGGTAATGATCCCGTACCCCTTCCCAGTTTAGATTATGCTATGGACCACACAAAGAGGGCAGTCCAGTTCATCCCTTTATTAGTAGGGCTAAAAGTCACAGTGGCCATAGGGACAGGCACAGCAGGGTTGAAAGTAGCAATACATATACCAAATTATCTAATCAGCTGATTGATAATGTTCAAACACTGTCTGATACTATCCAAGATATTCAAGACCAGATAGATTCATTAACAGAAATAGTCTTGCAAAATAGGAGGGGCTTAGACCTTCTAACAGCAGAGAAGGGAGAGATCTGCTTGGCTTTACAGGAATGCTGCTGCTTCTACACAAACAAGTCAGGTATTGTTCGAGATAAAATAAAGAGACTTAAAGAAGATCTTACTAAGAGGAGAAGAGAGCTATTCAAAAACCCTTTCTGGAGCACATAAAATGGAGTACTACCCTACCTTCTCCCCCTATTGGGACCTTTGATTGGACTATTAATCCTTTTACTATTAATACTTTTATCAATAAAACTCTGTCTTTTCAATAGGCTGATGACTTTCGTTAAACAACAATTGGATCCCATTAAGATTCAACCTATACAGGTCCATTATCACAGGCTTGAGATGGCTAAAAGGAAAAACTGCCCTAAAATACAACCAGCTTATGATGATAAAGGTCCAGAGACCTCTTAGTTCTCCCACCCTTGGTGAGATGGTCAGGCTAGCCAGAAATGGATAATGAGGGACATACACGAGACACCACTCACCGCCTAAGACAAAAATGGGACCTTCTGCCGTCCTAGTCTCCTATGACGGGTAAGGTTTGAGTTGGGTTCGTGTAGAGGATGCCTCAACCTAAGACAGACACTGCCCCCTGAAGGAAATCAGCCATCTAAAAAGCCATATTTTATATACATATATAAAAGTAAAGGGGGATCTGTGGAAGGCTCAATAACTCCAGGCCTCCAATCCTATTGCAAGTGGGTTTTCAGGTTCCTCTTCCCCTACCTCTGCTGAGCTAGGTTCCTAGTTCTTACCCGCCTACTTCCCAGGAGGTGGGACTTCCTGTCATAGCCTGGTTGCCTAGTTACTCGCGCCTTTTACCCACCCACGTCATTTCCCTATGCCTCCACTATATATACCCAGCACCTCCCCTGAATAAATGAGACTTGATCAAAATCCTGTCTTGTCTCTATTTCTCGCATCTCCTGTCCTTTGTCTTCTCTTCAGTTCCCCGCTCCTCCCCCAGGTGACCTTCATGGACTGACCCGCTGGTTCTGGACACCCACGCTTGCCTCATACTTGTGGAAAAAGCCTATTTCAAAAAAATAACATAGGACTGGGAAGATAGCTCCTGGCAAACACAAGGTCCTGAGTTCAATCCCAAGTACCAAAACAAACAAACAAAAAAACATAAGATCAAAAGCTTCAGCGATAGTCGCTGGGATCCCCATATCATACCCGCAAAAAGTGAAATTACAAAAGTACTAGAAGAAAGAAGAGATTAGAACTTTAACTTCTGGAATCTTAATTCAGTATCATCTATAAGACTTCAAACCCATAGGCAGAAACTCATGTCTTGTTATTGTATGGCTGATTCTGACAGATCTCTGGGGACAGGTAGTAAGGTGTTCCAATACAAGTTTGAGCAAGCTCCATGGAACTAGCAAATTAAATTAAATTAAATCATAAAACATTATGGTTTATTACCAGAGTAGCAAAGGCATGCACATCAAGAAAAATGTAAAGACAGATAAAATCTGACGCAAATATTAGAAGGAAAACACTGTATATTGATAATAGAGTAATAAAATTAGTAGATTTTTAAGCTTATAATTCATCTATACCCATTTTTCCTCTCTCTCTCTCTCTCTCTCTCTCTCTCTCTCTCTCTCTCTCTCTCTCCCTGTTGGTTTTTTGAGGCAGGGTCTTGCTATGTAGCACAGGCTGGCCTTGAACTTTCAAAAGCAGTCATGCTACCTCAGCTACCAGGCCCGGTAATCCCCACAGAGCCACACATTAAAATACACATTTACCCTTAGTGAAAAGTAAAATAAAATATATGTCTGAAAATATAAAGGACCGGCCAAATAGCTCAGCAGATTAAAGCACCAGCAAGCAGACGCAGGGGCCAGAGGTCCAATTCCCAGGTCTGCTGTGCTGGCCTCCCCCCTGGGGCACACTGAGACAGCAATTGAGACTAAGCATGGTGGTACACGCCTGTAATCCCAGCTTTTGGGAGGCTGTAAACAGATAGATCACTACAAGTCCGATCTAGTAGTGACACCCTGAACATGCTGTAGAACCTTCCCTAAAATTAAAAAAAAAAAAAAAAAAGAAAATGTAAGTTCTGATAATAGGAATGTGGGTCAGTGATAGAGTACTTGCCTAACATGTACAAGGCCCTGAGTTCAATCTCTAGTACTCAAAAAATGTAAAACCTCAAAACAATTCCTCTTAAAAAATTATATATATCTTAGTGTTTTCTCCAAATATTTATCATTATAGTATGCTTATAATAGTGCTTCTAATTCAGACTTTCATTTTCTTTTCTTACTGTAATGAAGTGCCAGGCATAGTGTCGAATGCCTGTGATACTAGCACTCAGGAGGCTGAGGCACGAGGATCACCATGAAGTCAAGGCCAGCCTGAACCACATATCAAAACTCTGTCTAGGAGCTGGGGAGATAACTCAGTAGAATAAGCACCTGCTTGGCGAGTGCAAGGTCCTGAGTTCAATACCCAGTACTGAAAAAAAAAAAAAAAAACTGTCTTAAAAAATAAAACAAAAATAACTACTTCATATAATCAAATATTTCCTTATGTTACCAAGAAGCTTTCAAAATCTTAAATGTTTGTGGCAGAATAATATATTTGAGAACATAGCTATATCACATTTTATTAAACTTCAATTTATTTCTGAATTCTTATTAAATATTTACTTCAAATTTCAAGTTATTTTCTTGGAATAAATTTCCAGAAATAGGACATTGAAAGATCTCTGGATACACATTAAACCAAATTGTCTTCCAAAACAGTCACATCACTGCTGCGCCTCCTACACTTACATCCGCCTGCTCCACTGAGGTTAGACCAGTTTTATGCATACAACAGTCACATTTCGTACTTAATAAACTTGTATCATGCAAAAAATCATCACCTTCATTTTTCTATGATGTAATTTATGTTGGGAATCTTATTTTACAGACATCTGAATGGTTTGATGCCTCTTTCTGTGTGTGTGTGTGTGTGTGTGTGTGTGTGTGTGTGCGTGTAGTAAGGCCTGATCCTCAGGGCCTTCACAGTGAGTTACATCCACAGCCCTTTAAGAGTGAATTCATTTGTTTATTGGCTTTTTTGAGACACGGTCTCATTACATAGTTCAAACTGGCCTTGAACTCACTATGTAGCCCAGGCTAGACTTGAACTTGTGTCAATCCTCCTGCCTCAGCATCCTGAGTGCTGGAATTACAGGTATGCTCCACCACACCCAATTTATAACTTTTATTTTTGAGACAGATTCCAGGTCGGGCTTGGCTTGATCCTCCTGCTTCAGCCTCCCAAAGTGCTTGGGAGGTGCCTGCTCCACTGCACCCAGGTGGTTTACTGCATTTATATGAAGTGACCTAAAGTTGCTCAGACAACTGAGTTTGCAACTGTTCTTAAGCTGTGATATCTCAAAATACATACTGTTTCAAATGAAAAGAGAAATAATTTTTCAAATTTCTTACTTATTCAGGACTCTTGCTATACCAAAGTCCCCAAGCTTTGCAATCATTCCATTCTTGCTAAGAAAAATGTTCTAAAAATGGAGAAAACAGTACATTATTTGAAATATTTGAAAAGATTCATGGTCTTAGTCATCTCTCTGAGATAACTGTTCAGTCATTAAGCAGTTACCTGAGCTTTTATGTTCCTGTGTACTATTTTCCTGTCATGCATATACTTTAGTCCAAGAGAAATTTGTACAAACCAACCCAGGATCTGCAGAGAAAAACACAAAGCAAAGCATTTCAACTGTTTGGTGGTCATAAAAATGTCTTGATGACACCACATAAAAAGAAAAAATATACCACATGTATGAGAATAGAAACAAAGCCAATATATATATTATTTTCACTTTTCAGCTAAAAAAAATGGAGGTGCAAAGGGCAATTCAAATACTGTTAGTGTAAAATGGAATCCCCTGTGAAGAAAATAATAAACAGAAGCAAGAGTGATACGATCATTCAGGGTTTTCTTTCTTCTTAACTCTGGGTGCCAACTGCAAGCACAGTGCTTGCATATGATTCCTAGAGTCCTGATATCTCTGGTGCCACTGAGTTTTCTTTCTCTTAAAACACAAGGTGCCAAAAGGAGTGCTAGACAGAGAGAAGGGGAGAATTTGTGAAGTTGTTAGAAATTGTAATAATTCTGGGAGGCACAGTCGGGAGAATCACATGTTCCATCCCAGCCTGCACAACTCAGCAACTTAGTGAGACTCTGTTTCAAAAACAAATGGAAAAAAAAAACAAAAACAAATGGGATTTTTAGAAGGGCTGAGAATGTAGCTCAGTGTGAAGGCCCTGGTTTCAAAGTATAACAGGAAGAACAGTAAAATCTATTGTAAATGCAATAAAATCTATGTAGTCATTAATAGATTATGCAAAGGTGTGATTTTAGT